ACACACACACACACACACACACACACACACACACACTCAGTGGGCGGGACACGCCCGAGATGGACGGAGAAAAGTTTGAAAAACCGGAGAAGTTTGAAACCATAACTCGGCAGTGCAATTTAAAGAGAAATAATTAATCTTGTAGACCTTCACTGTTGTTCCTTATCACCATCGATTCACCATTGATTACCACAGAAACATATGATACCAGTCGGATGGGCGCTCCTCGTTCTGAGGCTTAGCTTCACCGCGCGGCCGCGCACTTCATCCTTCGTTGTATTGGAATACACGGATAATGACTGTTATCACAAGAGTGCTGAGTTATGGACAAAAAAGGTGACCCCACGCGGGACTAGAATCCGCATCTCTCGCTGACCAGGTGAGTGCGTTATCTATTATGCTACCGGGGCCTTCTTACCCTAATAGCTGAATGGCTTTTGTGCCGTTATCACGTTAAACGTGTGAGTGCTGTAAGGCTATGGCGCAAAAGCCATTGAGCTTAGAAGGTAAGAGCAGTCTGAGTAGCGCAGTGGATAGCACACTCACCTGATCAGCGGAGATGCGGCTTCGAGTCCCATCTGAAGTCTGATTTTTCCCATATATCACTCTTGTGATAACTTTCGGTGCGCCCACTGCGGCTTCAAAGAGCAGTTACCAAATTATCACAACTTTAAAACACGGGTAATGCTGGCCATCTCTCATCTATGCACTTGATCAACGCTTTTTACCCTAACCACGTAAATAGAATCAGTGCTGGAAGTAACAGGTACGGTGCCTAAATAAAGAGCGTTGACCATATACGATAGATATGCTAGACATTAACCGTGTATTCCAACACTGTGAGAAAGGAAAACTCCACAGAAGGAGGAGCGCGGGTGGTAAATTATAAAAACAGTCAAATGAAAACAGAAAAAAACTAGAGGATGTTGACCTGATTCCTACCGTATTTCGCAGTAACCGAGCCTCGATGGTTCCTTCAGGTATGGATTTCTCCCGTTGTTGGTTTTCACTTAGACAACGCTCGATCAAAGCAATCCGCTCTAGCTGGAGTTCACCAAGCTAAAATTCATTCATTTTACTGTTTTACTTGAAAGTCGAAAAAAGAGCTCACTCGCTTCCCTACGTGCTCGCATGTCGCACGACTGTTGACCGGATGGAAAGACTGCGTTGGTAATGCGTCATTCAGCTCGATAATTACGGAGTCATCAGCCTGGAAGGAGATGATTAGCTTTTGTAGTTACCTGCTGTTGTGCGACCATTTGTCCACAGTGAAAGCAACCCTTCTGAAATACCTGCGCTGCGGAGGAGAGCTCCGTCACTACTTGCCAACTAAACAGTACACCCCAAACTGATGAGAAGGTCGCCCGTCAGTGAAGTACTGAAGGCAACGTTGACATGAAGGAAAACACGGCCAATTACGATCAGACAGGGCACTGAAGTCCCATTTACTCAACAAAAAAAGAGATTTGCCAGGAATCACGAAGAGGCACTAGAGATCATGGGAGTAAGAATAGACACGAAGGAGGTGTACCAGACAGTACTGACCGCCTACGCGCCGCAATCCGGCTGCTCCGCTGGAAAAGATGAGTTCTACCTGACCCTGGACGAGGCCATAAGATCGGTTCCGGAAGATGACTATCTCACCATAGCTGGGATCTGAATGGCCATGTGGGAGTGACAGAAGGGGTCTAGAAAGGGTGCACGGAGGCCAAGGAATAGGGGCAAGGAACGCTGAGGGAGAACGGATCCTTGACCTAGCCACAGCCCACGACTTAGCAATCTGTAGCACCTTCTTCGCGAGAAGAAAACAGAAGATAACCTACAGCAGTGGAGGGAGACAAACGGAAATCGATCCATGTCCTGGTGAGAAGATCGTCTCTCAAAACCGTCAAGGATATCAAGGTACTGCCTGGGGAAGAGCTGGACCTCAGAAGGCCTCTCCTGGCAGACATCGCCACAGACCCCTTCCCCCCCCCCCCAAAGAGTGATGGTAAAAACCGAGCGGAGAATTCGGTGGTGAAAACGCACAAGGTGGAAAAGGATAGCCTCGGCCGAAGAATACTGGAGGCTGGGCTCCCAGACCCACACGGGCCAGTCCAGGAGACGTAGACCAACGCAGCAGAGGTCATCCTACAGTGTGGGAAAGGAAGGACAAAGGAAGTCCTGGGAGAGACGCGAGGTGGTATCAGAGGAGACAAGGCAGCCTGGTTCTGGAACGAGGAAGTCCAGGGTCGTCAAGCAGAAGAAGGAAGCATACAAACGCTGGCAAAAGACACGGAGCCCAGAAGACTACGCTGCCTACAAGAGCTGCAAGTCGCTAAGGCAGCCGTTGCTAAGGCCAAGAATACGGAAATGGACGCCCTGTACGAGAAGCTGGAGGGCCGAGAAGGGGACAAGTTCGTCTTCCGCGTGGCTAAAGCCTTGCACCGTGCTACTCAAGACATCAACACAGTGAAGAATGTGAAGAGCTGCAACGGCGTCATTCTCAGGAAACCAAGAGAAGTCAGAAAGATATGGGAAGAATAGCTCGAGGAACTGCTGAACGAGGGATTGCCGCGCAAGGACAGCCTACAGGCAGAGGCGGCGACAGGTCTTATCTTTTCCTGGAAAGAGAATGAGGTCCGCCAAGAATAGTAAGAATAGGTTGAGAAGGGAGTAGGTTCAGTTGGAGTAGCGATAAAGGCATGAAGGTTCTTGGAGAGCAAGGGTAACTTCGCTCACTCACTTCCTGAACAACAGCAACAGCCGAAAGAAAGGCGCAGGATGCGTGGAACAGTACACAATCGTCCCCATCTTTAAACAGAAAGGAGACGCGACGGAGTGCTCCAGCTATACGGCATCAAGTTCAGACAGTTCATGTTGAGCAGGAGCTCATACATGAAGCTGTACGAGCGCCTGCTCAACACGATGCCAAGAAAACTTGTTCCTATCTCCCCTATCGCACAAAACAGTTCGGCTTCATGCCCGAAAGGTCCACCACTGATGCCATCTTCATCGCCAGACAGCTGATGGAGAAGTACCGAGAGAAGCGGCGACCCTGCTACCTAGCCTTCCTGGACCTTGAGAAGGCATTCGACCGCCTGCCTCGGCCTGTACTCTGGAGAGCGCTCAGAGAACGAAACGTCCCGGAACACCTGGTCCCCATAGTGAAAGACATGGACGAAGGCAGCTAGTTATACGCACCGCTCACTGCTTGACAAAGGAGATTAACATCACGGTTGCGACACAGCAAGAATCACCCTCAGCCCGTTCCTCTTCCTCCTGACTCTGAATGTCGTGGCAAAAGAACCCAGGGAGGGCCGCTGAAAACGATGCCTTGAAGCCTTGCCTTGATAACGGTTAGCAGGGAAGAACTTCAGGGAAATGTGCAGCGGTGGCAGGATGTGCTCGCTGAGAATGGACTCCGGCTGAACGTAAAGAAGACCAAGTTCCTGAGCTCCGAAGAGTGCACCGAAGTCATACGTAGATCGCCATGGCGGAAGCATCGAAAGCGTCGAGTACGTATAGTACCTGAGGAGCGATATAACAGCAGATGATAGCGTGAAGCAGGCGGCAAATGCTCAAATCAATGCAAACAAGACGAAATGGACGGAGTTCTCAGCCATCCTCTGCAATCAGCAGTGCTCGAGAACGCTCAAGGGTAAGGTGTGCCGGGAAGTGGTAAAGGTCTGCGATGCTCTACGGCAGTGAGTGCTGGTCCATAAGTAAGAACCATGAAAGCAGATCCATTTAGCTGAGGATGCTGAGGCATGCCTGCGACTTGGCAATACCTTACACTATACTCCATCACGCTAACACGATAGCAGAATGCGACGGGCACGTACTGAGGAGCCCTGAAGTCCACCCCCCCCTCCCCCT